TCCCAGATCTCTCTCACCTCCCGTCCAGACACAGGATGGGACAGGACGTTAGCAACCTGAGGGGGAAACTATCAGAACTACCAAGAATGAAGACTTGTTCATGGGGCACCTGGGTGGCTCAGTCAGTTAAGCATCTGACTCTTAGTTTCAGCTCAGGTCGTGATCTCACGGTTCGTGAGTTCAAGCCCTGTGTCCGGTTCTGTGCTGACGGCACGGAGCCTGCTTGGGATTCTCTGTTTCTCTCTCTGCCTCTCCCCCACTCACGCTGTCTCTGTCTCTCTCAAAAAGAAAGAAAGAAAGAAAGAAAGAAAGAAAGAAAGAAAGAAAGAAAGAAAGAAAGAAAGAAAGAAAGAAAGAAAAAAGAATGAAGGCTTGTTCAGAGTCTTCTGGCCGTGAGTTCTCCCTTCTGAGCAGAGGCGAGATCAAACCAGGTGCACTTTGGACCGACGGGTTTCTGTTCCGATTCCTCCCGAACTCTCGTTACTCAGAGGGCTTCCCATCCTAGTGGCTCCCGCTTTTTTTTTTTATTATTATTATTTTATTTTATTAGTTTTATTTTTGAGAGGCAGAGAGAGACAGAGTGCCTGTGGGGGAGGGTCAGAGAGAGAGGGAGACACAGAATCTGAAACAGGCTCCAGGCCCCGAGCCGTCAGCACAGAGCCCGACGCGGGGCTCGAACTCACGGACCGCGAGATCACGACCTGAGCTGAACTGGGACGCTCAACCGACTGAGCCACCCAGGCGACCCTCGCTTCTTCTTTTAAAATGCAGAGGTTTTCTAAAGAGAACGTGGACGACTCTTTGCTGCCAGCATAAAAAGGCCTCCCTTTTTCCTGCAGAAATCTGTGAGCGTCCACAGTCGGCCCTGGCAGTGCAGAGTTGAGCGCGACACGGTTCATCCCTGCAAGGCGGGGGAGGCCGGCATGCAGACCCCCGCCCCTGACCCATGGTGGGGCTCATTCCTTCGCTTGGTCCACTTGTCACGTGTCCCTTTACGTGCCAGATGTAGGCTGGCCACAGGCTCGGGACGCAGTGACGAGGAAGACGAGGAAGCGGCATGCCCTGCCCCCACCTGCACTATGGTTCCTGGCCAGGGGACCGGCTTCCACCACAGGGGGTGACTGACCCCCGCCGCGTAGAGCCCCGGCACGTATACTTTGGGGAAAGAATTGCCCAGGGAGTTGTGCTACGCGCTCCTAGCTCACAGTGACTATCGGACCGGCAGGACAGAGGAGTCGACAGGCCGTTGTTAACGGTGATGCCAGTGCTGGGAAAGATGCTCGGCTAAGAACGGAATGGTGGCCGGGAGAGGTGGTCTGGCTTTGGGGTCGAGGTCATGCAACCCGTGGCTGGACCGCCTGCTCTGCCATGAGCTGGCTGTGTGGTTCGGGCACGTTACCTGTGAGGTCCGTATTTCAGTTTGTTCATCTGCCAAATGGTTACCATAACAGCATCGACCTGATGGGGCTGCTATGGAGGATCACGTGAGATAAGAGACGGGAAGAGCGTCAAAACCGCGGCCGGCAGACGGAAACACGGAGCGTGTTAGGGGAGCGCACTACGCGGCAGTCACTACGAGTGCTGTTATTACTGATGGAGGAGCTTTCACCCTCGCCCCTCGAGACACAGCCCGGAGAACACCATGTAAGGACGTCAGGTGAGCCTACGGGAGGATGCGCAGTCCGCCAGGAGGGACTGAGGCATGCCGGGTGACCGCCAGCACCCGCGGCCAGTCAGTGGGGGAGGTCGGCCTGGACTTTCCAAGCCTTCCAGCTGGGCCTGCAGCTGCACGAGTGAGCCCAGGTGCAAAGAGGAGAGGAACTTCCTGGTCAACCCACCGAAGTGTGAGAATTATCCACTTATTGCTGTGTTAAGCCACTACATTTTAGAGAGGTTGTTTGCAGCAATAAACAACAGACACAGAATGTTAGCAAACACGGCACGAAAAGAGATCCTAAATGTGCACATGTGGCTGGCCTTGGATCCGGAGCTCTAGCGATCTACCGTAAGGAGGAACCCTTCAGCCTCAACGGGATAAATGCACATGGAGCGGATGTGGGCTCAGCCTGCAGCCTGGGGCCAAGCCTGTCCAACCCGCAGCCAGAAACAGAGTCTGTTCTAGAGCAGCCGAACCACAGCCAACCCACAGATCCTGAGCAGGGAGACATTTGGTGTCGTTGCCCTCGGAGTTTAGAGGGTGGCTTGTTATGCAGCATTGCTACAGCAAAAGCTGACTGCTACGCCCATCCTGCCTCTCTATGACCCACACGTTTGTAACGAAGGTCGTGTGTCCTGCATGAGAAATGCCATCCCCCCAATTTTCGTGAGAGATTCTGTCATTTGCACAACGCTGCAGGAATACAGAATATGGCATTATGCAGGAGTCGACGGTGTTGCTGTATGCCAACGAAGCCCTTTACTGCAGGAGGTGAAGAGCTGAGGACGGGGAGACATAGAAGGTCTCCAGGGGGTTCTTCCTAGCAGGCCAGAAGGCCCCAGGTAGATTATGATATTTTTAAATGCTTATTTATTTATTTTGAGAGAGAGAGAAAGTGGGGGAGAGGAGCAGAGAGAGAGGGAGAGAGAATCTTTAAAAAAATTTTTTTTTTTAATTATTTTTAGGTTTATTTAGTTTTTGAGAGAGACAGAGCACGAGTGGTGGAGGGACAGAGAGAGGGGGAGACACAGAATTGGAAGCGGGAGCCAGGCTCTGAGCTGTCAGCACAGAGCCTGATGCGGGGCTCGAACTCACGGACCGGGAGATCATGGCCTGAGCCGAAGTCGGATGCTCAACCGACTGAGCCACCCGGACGCCCCAGGGGAGAGAATCTTAAGCAGGCTCCACGCTCAGTGCAGAGCCTGATGCGGGGCTCAATCCACACCCGTGAGATCATGACCTGAGTTGTGATCAAGAGTCAGATGTTTAACTGACTGAGTCCCCCAGGAGCCCCCCAGGTGGATTATTTGTACCAGGTAGAGCAGGAAAGGCAGGTAAGGGATGTCTTTTTGACTCATTCTGCTCTGGTGATGCCTGGGTAGGGGAAGAATTTATACAGAAAGGAAAAGTACAATGTTCTCCACGGTGTAAGTGGAAACTCACTTTCACCGGAGCCCCAGATTCAGCCCTGCTTCCTCCGTGGTTTTTGCCTGACCTCTGACCCCAGCCTGGATTTTCCTGGTGAACGCAGCTCCGAGCTGGCACCCCAGGCCCTTCTGCATGGTGGCCCCAGGTTACCCAAAGCTCTTGGAAATAGGACAGAGCTACCTCCTCATTGCTTAGTGATGCAGACAACACCGGGTGATGGGGGTGCGGGGGCTGCTGAAAGCTACAGGGGAGTGGGGGTGGGGGGGTCCTCCAAAATGACACAGAGAAGACACGAGGCTCATCTGCAGGCCTGACACACAGGGGCTTGGCCCTTCCACGGTAAATGCCAAGGACATCCACCTTGCCCGTGTAACCGGGAAAATAGCTCTGGTCCTCACTCCAAGGTGGGGGACCATTTTAGCAAAAGAGAAGAAGCAGGAATGAGTCATGTCCCTCAGCTCCAGGGTCTCTCCCAGGCCCTCCGGGGCTGCCAGCACTTCAAATAACCCGGGTCAGCCAGACACGTCCGGCTCCCTCAGGTCCGGCCAGCGGTGGGCATTCCCGCCCCTCCCTGCTTGCTGGCAACCGGCCAGCAATCCGTTCACACACACACACACACACACACACACACACACACACACAGGCCGGCCGGGGAGCGGCCAGGGGCCTCCTTCGGGGCTGGCCTCAGGCCAGCAGCAGCTCTGAAGATCAGAAGCTGCAAAGCGACATACCTTGAGCTGAATCTGGTCAACCGTGGGTTTTGCCATTTGCAGAAATACTGTACGATAAGCGGGGCACCTCAGAACAAGCACGCGGCTGAGCAGGAGAACTCCACGTTCGAGGTCGGGGAGCTGACGCCCAGAGAGGCATTCGAGGCAGCCCCCAGTGAGACCGCTGGGCAGAACTCTGGCCCTCCCTGCCAGCCACCCTCTGCTCCCAGGCCAAGGAGTCACCGTCTCAGTGCCTCCTCCTGCTCCAGGGTCCTACTGCTGCTGTGTTCCCCCAGGAGATGTTAAGTCTGGGCCCCGCAGACCGTGGACCACTCCAAGTGCCCCGGGCTCTGCACCCGACTCCCCCAGCCATCCCCTACGGGCTGTCCCAAACCAGCACTCTGTCCTGGAGACCTCACCCACCCAAGGCCCGGAGCAATGGCACTCAAGCTTTCCACTGCCTCAGCACTCCAAGTATGTCCCTGGACGGCACGACACACACCCAAAGGTGTCTGTGGAGGCTAGCTCCCAAAGATACATCCACCTGGCACCCGTGAATGACAACGTCTTTGGAAAAGGCGTCTTCAGATGTAATTGAATTATGCAAACGTAATTAAGTTCAGGATCCTGAGATGAGATCATGCTGGCTTTGAGGGGGGGGTGGGCCCTAAATCCATTGAGACTGTCCTGAGAAGAGAAGAGAAGAGAAGGGAAGAGAAGGGAAGAGAAGGGAAGAGAAGGGAAGAGAAGATAGGAAGGAGAAGATGTAAGGATTCAGGCAGAGAAGGCAGGGACGCATCTACAAGCCAGGGAGGGCCAAGGGCTGCCAGCCACACCAGAGGCCGGAAGCAACAAAGAAGGATCATCCCCTAGAACCTCCGAGGGAATGTGGCCCTGCCGATGCCTCGATTTCAGACTTCTCGTCCGGCTCCCTTCGCTCCCACTCAAGAACGCACATGAGAACGCCAGGGCAACGCCATTATCGTAGGACCGTCTCGCATCCGCTCGAATTTGCGTACAGAGAAAAAACAAACCATTTTCCAAACGACTTCGCCCTTTTGTCTATTGTCAAACTATTTTTAACTTTTAACGACTATCACCAAGAACTGGGAACACATTCACAAGGCTCGTGACCCCTGGCCCAGAACCTCCTGCCTGGGGGATGAGCTGGGGAAGGGTTTTCATCCGTGACAAGCCAGACTCACCTTTCTCCTGAGCCATCTCTTGCAGACAGAAGTAGATGACTCTGGCTCCCAGGCTGAAGCCAATCAAGGTGACAGGTCGCCGGCCCTGTGGGGAGACAGGACACAGGTGTCTGGGGGATGCACAGCCAGTTCCGGCAAAGCATCAGCCCTGACAAGGACGGCCCCCTGCACACCCCTCGGTGCCCGCCTCACGCTGAATGAATCAGGCATGTGCTATTCCTGTCCTGGAGCTCTGATGTCTTAATTAATTAACTAATCTTATTTGAGAGAGCGTGGGGGAGAGGGGCCGAGGGAGAGACGGAATCTCAGTGCGGAGCCTGATGCAGGGCTTGATCCCCTGACCCTGAGATCATGACCTGAGCCGAAATCAAGAGTTGGACGCTCAACCGAATGAACCACCCAGGCACCCCCAGAGCTCTGATGTCTTAATCAGGACGGGCAGGGCCCTCATTCATGCAGGAGTGCACCTGCTGTGGAACTGCAGGCAGCCTCTGGCTGGGTTAATTCCCTTTTATCTCCAACCATCATCCGGCCACTGTCTCTTCTCCCCCAGGGGACAGGACTCAACTATCAGGTGGCAAATGGCTGCAGGATAGCGGGGCCCTTCTGGAGCCAGGAAGAGGAGGTGGAAGGTACCCCCAGGGGTGATGACGGGTAAAGAGGCAGAGACAGGTGAGGGATAATTGTCCTGTTTCTAGATAGAAAGGTGGGACATGAAATCAGGCAGTAAGTTCGACATGAAGGGGAATCTTCTGACTAAAGAACTCGCGGAAAAGGCAACTCGTAAGAAGAAAGTTCCCTGAGGTGTCTGGGTGCAAGTTCTCCATGGAAGGAGGAGGAAGGAGAAGAGGAGCTCCAAAAGGTCTGGTCGGGTCCTGCCAGTCTATTCTTCTTCCTTGTTCTTGTGCCAAAATGTATATCCCTCCTCTCCCCACCCCCGCCCCCCTTTACGACAACAGGAAACCCTTGATCAAATAGTATCCCCGTCCTGCAGGAACTTTGTGGCAACGGCTGCTGGCCATCCCCCGACACCCACTCTCCCTGGGCCCCTGGGAACAAACTCCTGAGTTTTGCTGTCATACAGCTCCTCGACCAGGGACGAAGTTTCTCCGACTCCCCTGCAGCGAGGAGGGATGGCCGCCTTTCCCTTCACTTGCCTGCCCCCAACTGTCTGCAATGTCCGTCTCGAACTGAAGGAGAGACTGAACACCGAGGACGTGTGGCCATGACGTTGAAAGCCGCCCACGTGAGGCAGAGTGTTGGCCCCCGGGAGACGGTCCCATCCTAACCCGTGGGCCCTGCGAATGCCACCTTATATGACAAAGGGGGAGGCAGGAGGGTCCGAGTCAGACAGGTGACCTGCTGGCAGAAGCAAGGGACACAGAGAAAGATCTGAAGATGTCACACCGCTGGCTCTGAAGACGGAGGAAGGGGGCTCCCGGCCAAAGACAGCAGGTGGCCTCTGGCAGCCGGGGGATGCAGGGAAGTGGATCCTCCCTGGAGCCTCCATAAGGAACGCGGGCCCGCGTTTTAGATTTTCATTTGTTGTTCCTTAATGTTTATTTATTTTTGATAGAGTGCGAGAGAGCAGGGGAGGGGCACAGAGAGAGGGGGACAGAGGATCCGAGGCAGGCTCCAGGCTGACAGCAGTGAGCCCCACGTGGGGCTTGAACCCACGAACTGTGAGATCATAACCTGAGCCGAAGTCAGGTGCTCAACTGACTGAGCCACCCAGGCACCCCTATTATTTATTTACTTTGAGAGAGAGAGAGAGAGAGAGAGAGAGAGCGCGCGCGCATGGACAGGGGAGGGGCAGAGATAGAGGGAGAGAGAAGAATCCCTAGCAGGTTCTGTGCTGTCAGCACAGAGCCCAACGTGGGCTTGAACTCACGAACCATGAGACCATGATCTGAGCCGAAATCAAGAGTTGGATGCTTAACCGACTGAGCCACCCAGGTATCCCACCCCCCCGCCATTTTTAGATTTCTGACCTCAGAGCTGTAAGGTAATAAATTTGCGTTTCAAGCCAGTATGCCTGGGGTAGTTTGTTACAGCACCACGAGCAAACGAACACACATCGCATTGCCCTGGATGCTGATACCCGGGCTATTCCACGGGAGAGGATAAACGTCTACCTTGTTTAAGCCGAGGCCACTCTGGTCTCTGCCTTACTTCCAAACCTGCCACAGGACCTCCCTATTTCTTCTGGCACAGACACAGAAATCAGATGGGGGCTGGGGGTCTCAAGCAATTTACCCGCTGTGGCAGAAACTGCTAGCTGTCCCTCAATATCCATCCTCCCCTTCCCATAGCTGAATTTCAGCTGGGTTCACTGACACCCAGAATAAAGACGGCGTCCCCCAGCTTCTGCGGCAGTAGGCGTGGTCCTACGGCGAGGGTCTGGCCAATGAGACGTCAGTGGAAAGGTTACAAGGCCTTTCTTTTTCCTGCTTACCTGGAGGGCGGATGCTGGCATCTGGTACCACGAGGTCAAGAGCCCCTACAGCAGAGCAACAAGCCAGACGGCCCTTTGCTGCCTCGCCATGGCACAGTGTTCTAGTGCAAGACTGCCTTCCTAGGCTTCTCCTCGAGCAATAAACTCCCACCTCGCTTAAGCCACCGTTATTTGGGGTTTTCTCTCGCCGCTAAAACTAATCCTAACTGCACAGTCATCTCTGAAACTTTCCCCCAAACTTCTGTTTCCATTTACTCAAGTTTATTCTGAAGTTACGGGGGGGGGGGGGGGCATGCAGTTTAATTTCCCTGGTAAGTACTGGATTCAAATTTTAAAAGTATTCCGATTGTTTATCTTCCTGATCATTTTACACGGTATTTGGACCACGGGACATCTGCTCAGATGGTGGCTCTAGACTTCCAGGAGGGAACACCTGCCCTTGTCCCTTCCCTCAATGTCCCTGTTATTCAGTCTTCACCTCACTACCTGCGAGAAACGCACAACCCACAATTCTCACTGGTCCATCCTGGGATATTCTTGTGACTTGGACTGTAGGGGCAGTGAAGGCCATCCACCCCCAAAAAGCCACTGGGCTACCTCCATGTGGGCTTGTCTTTAGGGCTGACATCTGTGCACAAGTCAGTTTCCACACTTCCCTTCTTCCCTGCACCTCCCCCAACAGCCCAGGTACCTGCTGCCGGGAGAGCAGGATGTGGGCCAGGTGCTTGCCAACCTCTGCGGATCGATGGAGACACACGCCCCAGGGGTTGTCGATGACGTTGGCGACAGTGAGGAGTGAGGCTGGCCAGGTCAGGGCAGCCACGATGCCTGGGGAGGTGGGATATCAGTGATGAAAGCAGTGGGGAGAGGTCCTTCTCGGGAAGTGGTGGGCTGGCCAATGGATGCCCGAGTGAATGTGTGCAGAGTCTTGAACTTGGAACCTGTTAAGTTTTCCAAGTGCTGTCAAACTGCTATTAGAGCAATGAAGAAAACTGATGCTCATGCATTTCTGACTCATGGACTAAATTCCTTCTGTTCAAGCATCGGTCATCAGTGACATGCCCAAGATGGCCTCAGTTTGTCACCCGACCCTGTATCCTCCCGCTTTGTGTTATAATTCTGCAGGGCCCGGGCCCCTGCCCCTGTCCTGCGCTCCACTCTAGCCTTGGCCATGTGAGTTGCTTAGGCCAATGAGCTATTAGTCAACGTGAAGCTTGAAACGGTTTTGTGCGTTGGGTCCAGGCTCTCATGCGCTTCTAGCGCTGGTGTGGGCTGGCCTGCTGATCCCAGGAGGAGGTGAGAGACAAATGGAGCAGGGCTGAGTTGTCCTAGTTGCCCCAGACCAGGCTAGCCCAGATCGGCGGACATTTGGCTGACCCACGGACGCATGAGCAGGCCCACCTGAGATCAGCCAAATGAAGCCTTACGACTTCTCAGCTATTATGAGAAATGATTGCTGTTTTAAGCTACTGAGTTTTGGGGTTGCTTGTCATGCAGCAATAGCTAACTGATACGCCGTGTGACAACGTGATTGGCTGTTTACCGGTCGCCTCCCCACAGAGACCATAAACTTGATAGACAGGAATGCAGTCTTAACCTCTCTGTGTTCCTAAGACCCAGCACGGTGCCCGGCTCACCGGGGGCCTCAGGCACACAAAGATATATATGCTACTGGTGTGAGTTGGGAGCTGTGGGCCTGCTGCTGGCGGTAGTGGCCGGGTCGGGGGGTGCTTACCAGACAACACTGTGTACTTCAGGGCCTCCTGGGCTACCATGTTGGCGAGACCACTGAGGATGGTCTCCAGGGCATTGCCGAGCTCCATCAGGTACTTGGCCTCCCAAGCCAGGCAGTACTGCTCGCGGCTGCGGGCCAAGGCCGCCCACGGGGCACTGAAGGTACCTAGGAGAGAACGCAGGTGGTGGGGGGGGGTCTCTCCTGTCTGTGACAGAGGGTGGCCCACCCCACCTTCCCAGACAGGTGGTGACAGGGGACCGCTTGCCCTTGTGGGGAGACAGAGCCCCGCCCCCCCCCCACACTGATGAGCGTCAGCTGTTAGCAGAGCAGACAGAGTGCAGCGCCACCTTGTGAGTCAGCAGGCTGCGGTTCAAGTCCCAATTCTGCATTCCGTAGTAGCTGGGTGACCCCAGGCATAACCACTTTCCTACCCTGAGCCTTACTGCGCTTATCTGTGCAGTAGGAGATGAGTATTTATCTCCTTCTATAAAGTGGGTAGGAATGAAGTCTTCGAACTTCCGTGCACGTGAAGTGCTACTCTGTCTCTCCCTGCAGAAATTCTGGCCATCAGCTGCCAGGGACATACAACAGGAACGTGCACTGCACACGGGGACGAGCAGCTGGCTCTGTGAACCAGTGGCAGGTCATTCAACAAGCTCGGGCTGGGAAACAGTCTGGAAGCTTGGGGCAGAGGTATCTGAGCCCGGCTCTGCCACGATCTTGCTGGGTCAGCCAATGCTTCCGGGCCTCGGAAGCATTCCCACTTAGGGACGAATTAATGGGGAGATGTGGACAGCACCACCACAGTGACCAACGTCAAGCAGGAAGTATAATGTCCCTCCTTTTCCTTGCTCTGTGCCCTCCTTCTGCCCCTAGGATAGTGTCACCTCTCTGCATGACACTGTAGCCCTCTGCCCTCTGTGATGTGGCCCCTGCCTCCTTCCCAGTCCCTCCCTCATCAATGCCTCACTTACGCCCTGCCCTTCAGAAACACATTTCACCTTCTCATGGCCTCTGAAATAGGGTGCCACAATTAGTCTGATTTAAATTCTTTTTTTTTAACGTTTATTTATTATTGAGAGACACAGAGCATGAGCAGGGGAGGGGCCGAGAGATGGAGAGACACAGACAGAATCTGAAACAGGCTCCAGGCTCTGAACTGACAGCACAGAGCCCGACATGAGGCTTGAACTCACAGACCGTGAGATCATGACCTGAGCTCAAGTCGGACGCTTAACTGACTGAGCCAGCCAGGTGCCCCTAAATTAGCCTGATTTTATAGCTGAGGAAACCAAGCCATCCAGCCCTCTGGCTGGGCACAGACAGGGACATGCACACATCATGCTGTCACTCTATTCTGGGAGAAGGGAAAGGGGCCCAGGAGGATGCCTGACCAGTCCCCCCGCCCCATGCTTTCCTGCCTGTGGCCCCAGTGACCTTTCCAAAACAGAACTCTCCTCCCCCCCCCCCCCCCCCCCCCGAAACCACCATTTTCTCCCTTCACTCCTACTTGCCCTTGAGCTTGTAGTTCAATCACCTCTTCCACAGGGAGGCTGCGTGGCCCCTCTGGAGGAGCAAATGCCTTTCCGCCGTAAGTTCTCATACGGCCTGCAGTCACACGCTTACTTTTGCGACTGTCTGTGTGAAGCACGTCTCCCACAGCCTGTTTGCCAAGGACCAGATTCTCAAAGCCCAGTGATATGGCACAGGGTAAAACTCATGAAAACACGACGATGAATGAATGTGCACCATCAGCTTCCCGGAGGCTTCGGGTTCTGGACGTCCGCTACCTGCCCGACTCAAAGGTGTCATCCCTACCTAAGGGCGCCATGCGGACACGAGGACCACCCTGGAGCTGCTCCCTGCTCTGCGGGGACCCTGCCATGGCTCTGCAGCAGCTCAGGGTGGAGAGCAGGGGCGGGGGAGGGGGGGCGGTGGGGAGAGTGAGGGGGAGGAAGGTAGGCCGTGCCGGGTCACCGGCCTGGGCTCGCACCCGGCTCAGTAGCTTCCTGGTCGCTTGGCTCGCAGCTAGCCAGGCCACCCTTGTGGGCCTCGGCTTCCACATCTGTAAGAATGGATGATACCTTCTGACTTCCGAGTGTCGTGGGGCTCCCGTGAGATGTTGCATGAATAGCATTCGATACATGTAAAGCACTGTATCGCCCCGCGGCCCAGAACACGGGGTGTGGGGCCAGACGGAAAGAAGAGTGGTGAGTCCTGCCCCAGTCCCTGGCTACCCAAGTGGACCCTGAGCAGCCCTTACGAGTGTCAGTTTCCTCATCTATAAAATGGGGGTGACATTGATGCCCACCTCCCCGGCTTGCAGTGAGAGACCAAGAGAGTGAGGCAGGCAACACGCTTGGCTTAGTGCCTGGGTTAGTTCCTGTTCCCTACAAAGAGGTGGTCATTATTGCATATAATCCTATCCAACGAAAGGGTGGGTCAGGAGACACGGGTTTGAATCCTGCATTAGCCACGCCCCTGAGCTCACATGACCGCCCTGGGTTTTGCCCTCCTGCCAGATCAGGACAGGAAAGGCCCCCACCTCAGAGGGTGGATGTCAGGCTCTCGGGAGGTAACGCATCCAAGTTCCCATTGAGAGGGTAAAACGTCTGACTCAGGGTAGGCACGGGCGAAGTGCTCAGCTGACACCAGAGGCCCGCTGTGTGCAGATGGGGCCTGGCGATCATATACCAATGAGACTGGCACCTGGGAAGGCCGCCACACAGAGATGGGGCATTTTCTCACTCGCTTTCTTCTGCATCACGTAGAAGGACTGTGGCTTCCAGCCTCAGAGCCCAGAGATTTGGAAACTCAGGAGGCTGTCAGCATGGGTCTGGCTGGAATGTTCCAGATTCCCTGGCCCACCCTGCTCCCTCTCTCTCTGTGATGAACTGTTTATGGAGCCTCACACTGGGCACTTGCAACAGAGAGCCAGGCAGTGGGTGGACTATGGTGTTAGTCCTCGATGCCACCCTGGTTGGCCTCTCCCCCAAAACACAGATTCAGATTAGAGCAGCAGAGGGAACTAATGTTTGCGGAAAGTCAATGAGAAACCAGGTGCCTTCCATGTGCTCTGTTTAATTTAAACTTTGTAAGTGTCTTGAAAGGCAGAGATAATTTGTTCTACCTCACAAATGAAGCAGCTGAGGCCCAGAGAGGGTAAGTAACTTGCCTGAAGTCACGCAGTCAAGATGTACTGATCTCGCACCTACTTAAAAGTCCTTTCTACTTGAAGCCATATGCTTCGATCCTTTGCTCTTTCCCACTTGCTCTGAGGATAAATACAAACTCCTTGCCATACCTCACATGCTCCAGCACGATCTGACCCTGCCCACACTCCTGTCTTCTAGCTCCCTGTTCCAGCCATCCCGTGGTCCTTTGTACCTGCTGCCCCTTTACTTAGTGTATACTTCCTGCTCCTTCTTACCCAGTTAACGCCCAGTCCTTAGCCCAAAGTCACTTTCTCCAGGATCCTTTCCCTCATTCCCCAGAAACACTCCTGATTTCCTCTATTGTGCCATCCATAGAACTTCCCTGTAATTACTGCTCAGTGGTCTTTCTTCCACCCGGGACCATAAGTTCCATGAGAGCAGAGGCCATGACTGTGCCGCTCACCACTGAATTCCTAGGGCCTGGCTCAGTGTCTGGCAGGTGGTATGAAGATACTCTATAAATATTGCTCAATGGACGAATTAATAGGTGAATGGGTGGGTGAATGGATGGATGGGTAGATGGATGGTTGGGTGGATGGGTGGATAGATGGATGGATGGATGAATGAATGGGTGGTTGGCTGGATGAACTGATAGACAGTTGGATGGGTAGATAATAGATAAATGCATGGATAGATGCATAGATGGATGGATACATGGATGAGCGGGTGGAGAGATGAATGAGTGGATAGGTGAGTGGGTGGATGGGTAGGTGGATGGATACATGGATGGAAGGGTGGATGGATGATGGATGGATGATGGATGGGTGGCTAGATAAATGGGTGGGTGGATGAATGGACAGATAACTAGATGGATGATGGACGGATGGGTGTGTGGATGCATCAGTGGATGAGTAGATGGGTGGATGGAAGGGTAGAGATGGTTGAGTAGGTGGATTGTTGGGTAGGTGGATGGAAGGCTGATGGATGGGTGGGTGTGTGGACGATGGATGGATGTGGGTAAGTAGATGGACGGTTGACAGATGGATAGATAGATGGATGGGTGGGTAGGCGGGTGGAAAAATGGAGTGTGGATAGATTGGTGGATAGATGAATCGGTGGATGGACACGGGATGAAGTCATCTCACCTCCTTGAGCCTCGGTTTCCTCCTCTGCAAAATGAGGCTCCCCTTCCCACCGTCTAGAGACATCCACAGGCAAGAGCCTAGGCCGGGGTCTGGCCCACAGCAGCAGTCAGAGTCATTCAACACCCACCTCTCCCCGCTCCACTCCCCCACCCTCATCCTTCTTTGCTTTGGCCCCGGTCCTCACGGTATTTGCCAGACGCCAGCCACCCTGTGATGGCGATGGTGATATGCAGCTGCCTGCCTTCTGTCAGAGGCAGAAATGTGAACTCTTCAATGGCCCCGACACGCTTCTTCATCTTGTATCCTAAAGACGTAGATACAAAAATGAGGATGGGATTAGTGAGAGCGGCTCTCTGTGCTCTCAAACTCACAGTGAGTGCCAACTGTTTGCCTGGCCCCTGGAAACATGTCTCATTTTTTAAATCGTTAAAGGTAGGTGCCATTATTGTCCCCGATTACAGCCAAGGGTCAAAGGCTTCCAAAGGCTGGCCAGCTGTAGTGGCAGAGCTGGGGCTGGAACTCGCTGGCCCACTGTGACTCCGTTGGTTCTATGTGTTTTCTCCTGCCCATGCGTGTCATGGGTGTAATATACGCCTCTCAAAAAACCGGATCAAACTGATGAGGATTCTCAACATGGGGAGGGATGGACCCCACCTGAGGAGTGGAACAGGAAGCTCTGTGTGTGACTGGGGGGCTACTGGCACATATGATCTGGAAAACCCACCCAGGAGACACTGGTAATTTCAGGGTATCCTCGTGGCCTCTGAACATGAAGAAGCCCATGTGTTTCCGAGGTGGCCTGCCTGGAAATCTCCTGGATGGAGACCAGCAGGTCCAATCAGACCCTCCTCAGAAAATCTGTCCAGGGGCAGGTGCTCACATCCAGCTCTTTTCTGACCCACGCCAGGCTCCTGGGGCAGGTCTCTGGGAAGCCTGCTATGGGTTCTGGCTGGGACCCAGCGTGAGAAAAGCCGTATCCTCCTCCGTCCCCGGGGGAGCCGTCTTGGGTGAGAATCTGGGCATGTTTTGGAACAGCCGGGCGCCCCTGGCTGAAAAATCCCCCCTAGGCCACCACCCCTTTGGAGCCTTACCTGTCAGGCCGGCTCCAGCCGCACCAAACAGCGAGGTCAGGACAGCGATGCCAGCCACCGAGCCCAGGGCCGCTGCCCCGGCACTGCCGATGATAGTCGCCCCGGTGACGCCTGGTTGGTGAAGATGGGAAGATGCGGCCCACTGGGTTCTTCCCCCGTCAGCTGCCCAGTGCCTTCCACGGATGCTTCCAACGCTAATGAATGTGCTTTCTGCTGACAGAGCACCTAGTGCGAGCTGGGGCCACCTCCCAGCTGCCCTCCTTACGCTCTCCTCTCTAGCTTCGAGCCTGGCACCGTCCCTGGCTCCGCGCTGGCCCACGTGCCACCGGCTCAGCCTGGGCCGGCCTTACCGATCACCGTCCCGCCTCCGACAGTTGCCAGGCCTATCAGGAGATAGCGCTTCCATTTCCTCCGGTTTTCCTTCTTCTTCCGGGATGCCTCAGCCGTTCTGGGGGAAAAGAGGTTGGTCGTTAGGGCTGGCTGTGCCTGGGAGCCCGTGAGGCCACCCCGCCCCACTCAGCCCCCAAGACTGGGATTGATGCTGCCATGCAGAGCAAGGTACCAAAGTCACCCTGGGCCCATCGATGGTTTTAAAAAGCTGGAAAGTTTCTACAACCCAGCTGGGAAATCCCAGCGAGTGGGACGTGCTACTTACCCGACCGATCCATCCTAACAGGGTTGCAATTTGAATAACAAAAAGACAAAAAAATAGTAATAATAGCAAGAGCAGCACAAAAAAAAATATCTTGGAACAGACGGACCCAGAATGAGTAGCAAATATAATCACAGACTCCGTCACCGCCATCTTCCCATCCCTCCCTGCCCCCCACCATCTGGTCCCAGCTCCCTCGGGAAAGGTCTGCCAGTTGGAGACCTTGGCCTTGGGGCAATAGCTAGAATCAGTCAGACTTGACACTTAAAAGCTATCAAGTGGAGCAGAAAGGAGGCACTTGGGGTGAACGGGGTCAGGCGAACGGGAGAATGGCCGCCGTGAGTGTCCCTGCGCCTGGCTCTGGCGTCTGGCGAGCAGCCCTCGCTGCTGTGGGGCAAGAAGGAGGAGGACGAGGGACCAAGGGCAGGTCGGTGAGGTCTTCACGAGCTCGAACTCTGAGCTGACGGTGGAGTTTGGACAGCAACTCAACGTATGGTGTGATAGCAGACGATAATGATAAAGAGGGAAAATGGTTAATATTTACTGAGGAATTCCTTCTCGCTGGCCACTGTGCTTTGTATTTCAAGTGGGTTATCTTATCCTGGAAGCAGGATCATTATTGTCCGAGCTGGGCGCTCAGGATCTGCTATGCCTTCTGGTTCCCTGCCAGCTCACCTCTATAAATTCTTGTCCTACGTCCCTCCTGGGTGTTCAGGACAGCCCTTTGCAGCTACTTCACTACAGGGAGGCGGAAACATGGAAGATAAAAGTCTCCATGCACGGGGCGCCTGGGTGGCTCCGTGGGTCGAGCGTCCAGCTTCAGCTCAGGACGTGATCTCACGGTTCATGAGTTCGAGCCCCATAGAGTTCGGGCTCTGTGCTGTGAGTGCGGAGGCTGCTTCAGATCCTCTGTCCCCCTCTCTCTCCGCCCCTCCCCTACTTGCATTCTCTCTCTCTCTCTGTCAAAAATAATAAACATTAAAAAAAAAACATCTCCATGCACACCACAGGTGCTGGTTTCCCAGGGCTGAAATTCATGCCATCAGACGTGGGATGAGATGTGAACGGTGCGCATCTAGCCAAGTGGAAGGCAAGGTGGCGACACAGAGTGTGGGTTCTGACATCAGAATTCGACCCTGTGAACTTGACTCTGACCTCTGCGGTGTGGTACTGGAGCACCAGGTTTGATTCTCCCTGCCTGCACTGGCCCTCCCCGCAGAAAGATGACATCCTTGCCCTGTGGAACTGAGGGGCCCCGTGACCCACTTCAGCCACTGAAACGTAGGCAGGAGGGAGGTGTATCACTTGTGGCACAATCTTTAAGAGTCAGTCAGATGAGTATCCTGCTCCGCCCTGAATCAGCAACGTTCCAGATGGAAGTCACTCTGTCACCCCAGGCCCAAGACAGTGTGGACTAAAGCCACCGGGGTGTGCAGTGGACAAGTACTGGGGAACAGGACCCACAGCTTTGCTGCTGTAAGCCATTGAGATGGGGCGGTCATTTGTTACTGCAGCAAAACCCAGTCCATCCCGATGGGAGAGCCACTTACTAACTGTGTGACTAAGCACCAGTCTGACTTGCCTCACCCAAGTGGGGATAATAATAGCACTTAATCCCTGGGGGCGTCATGAGGTTAAGTGAGATCATCCACATCCAGTGGCTGGCATATTGTAATGGGTCGGTATGTTTGCTGTTATTATCATTCCTTTTATTACTACAACTTATTCCACACACAAGGCTGGAGATACACTTTGGCCCTTAATTGCTAGCACCATTCCAGGCAAACAGGAAGACTGGGAATGAGCTGCTTTCGGCAGAGTTCAAGGTCTGAGGTGAAACGCAAGCTGCTGAGGACGTGCAATAAGATCGCGCACTGGGACAAGTGGCTGGGTCTGTGAATCAGCGGCATCTCGTTTAACCAACTCGGGCTGGGAAACAGTCTGGAAGTTTGGGGCAGAGGTATTTGAGCCCAGCTCTGCCATGATCTCTCTGGGTCAGCCAATGCTTCTGAGCCTCAATTTTCTCCCTTAGGGACTGGCGATGGGGGGATATGGACAGCACCACCATAGCGATATATACAGTATAACCCCGACTGTCTGCCTCCCTCTCTCCCCACCTCTGTGTCCTCCCTCTGCCTTGAGGGCAGCGTCACCTTTCCCACATGACACCTGGCCCCTGCCTCCTTTCCAGCTTCACTGCTCATTACTTTCTCACACTCTGCCCTCCAAAAACACACTGCCTACGCCTCAGTCCCTGTGCTCCTGGGACCTCCACGGTTTCACCTTCTCACCTTCCTTTGACTGGCTAAACATTAGTCACCATTCAAGATGACATCATTCCTCCTCCAGGAAGCCTGCCTGAGCCCTGACTCTGGGGCCCCTAACCTACTCTGTCCTCAACATGGAATTCTAGACCATTGTTTTTCAAAGGGTGGGGCTTTGTCTCAACTGCATCACAAGCCCCCAGGGTAGCTGTTAAAAGCACCCACGGTGGGGGGGGGGGGGGCGCCGGGGTGGCGCAGTCGCTTCAAGCATGGCACTTCGGCTCAGGGCATGATCGCACGGTTCATGAGTTCGTGAGCTCGGGCTGTCTGCAATCAGCACTGTCCCCCCCTCTCTGCCCCTCTCCTGCTTGCACATATTCTTTCTCTCTCTCTTAAAAATAAATAAACGTTAAAAGGGAAAAAGACACCACTTCCTGGGCCAGAAGCTCTGGGCAGGACGGTGGGAAAGCTGGACCTGGAACAAGCCGTCCAGGGACCCGCTGTATCTTGAGTTGGAGGATTGCACAGATAGGACCTTTCCTGCTCGCCGCCCTCAGCAGCTTGTCCACGGCTTGGGACCTGGAAGGTGCTCAGAAAACACCTTTCTCGAGCAGAACCTCATCACTCCAACAAGGACTGGACGTAAACATATTGCTGCAGTATCTATCCCCCCGATCACTGCCCACATCTACAAAGCCAGCGCAGCATTTTGGCTAAATATTCAGGCAGAGAATAGGCCGACCACCATCAATAATAAAACTTCTGAGATATTCGGACAAATCTGGAATGTTATAAAATTGCATAAATTTCTGCTCCTACATTGTTCCTGCAGTGACATCTGCACATCCATGATACTAGATAATCTTCCCTTTTAGCTGAGTTCATGGAAGGGGAAACCCAGAGCCTAAAGGGAATAAAATAACTAAAAAGTAAATGTGGTTCTTGAAGCTGTTTTATTTCAATGTATGAGTGCTGGTACAATCAAATCAATTTTACAAAGATTAGATGGATGATACACTCTAATCTCTAGTATTCAGCTTTGTATTATTGTTGGAATGTTCATAAAAATTTGCTGGATCAAAGAGAATACAGTATTTTCCCCAGAGTTATTCAGCTAATTCCCTCTCCAATGTTTACCTGAACTAATCTCCTTATTTAAGTCCTCAAACGTTAATAACTGTTTTGTACGTAAAATGAACAGCTTTCCCAATCATCCTTAATTATCACAGCATTTTACCCCTGCAATTAATTCCATTGTGTGAATTTCAACATCTAAAGCACCACAATGTTGGCTCGGAGTTACGTCTACAATGCTTCCTATATTAGGAAGTGGGAATTCAGATCACAACACTAAATCCAAATGGAACCCTGTCCCCATCACTGACTGCCTACGGGTTAGATACCTGGCCAATCTCTGCCATCCTACCTATGGTCCTGGCCACATTCATGCCTCAGGATGCTAGAAATGACCTTGAGTTGGCGTTGCATGTGAGCCTTCCCAGGCCAGAGGCTGAAGCCATAGTGAAGGGCGAGACACCCACACCGCCTGTCTCACGGATCCACAAATAAATGTTGCCCACGGCTATCTCCTCTCCCATGACAGGGTGGTTCTTACCCTTATCACCATCACCACCACCTTCTTCTTGTTTTCTTTTTTAATCACCTTCTCCAGTTCATAGACAGTGAGTATATTTCTGGGAGGTCTGGAGACACTTTCCTAGTAAACACTCAGAAAGCCCCATTAAGAATTATCTTTACTGCTTTTTTTCAGAAGGAAGGAAGGAACTGGGGCTTGTCAACCATGAGGTGAGGGATGTACTAAGGGCCGTTCAGAGGGGTATGGTAGTTGAGTCTGAGGGCGCCACTGGCCAGTGGTGCAACCTTGGGTGAGGCAGTCAGCCCTCTGACCTTCTGTTGCTTCTTCTGCGAAACCCTCATGGGCTTGTGTGCCCATCTTGTCCCGCATCTACTAAGGGCTCAGTGAAAGTTAGATGTTGACCATGTCATTCTGATGTGATCAGTATCAGCCTCCAGCAGCACAGCAGCCAACATTTACTGGCACCTACTATGTGCTAGGGCACTGTTCCAAGTTTTTGATATGTAGCCGTTTAATCCTTGCAACAGCCCTATGACGGGGATACTGCTATTACCCCCATGTGGGAGGTGAAGGAAATGAGGCACAGAGAAGGGAGGTCACCAAGCCTGTGGGGGAAGCCTGGATGGCCTCAGGGCTCAGACGGGGACCTGAGAACAGCAATGTGGTACCTTACACCTGAACTAGAGTAGCAAAGGATCGCCTCAGGGTGTCGAGTGATAAGCTCACCTTGCAGAAATGCAAACCTTGGAGCTAAAAGAAACCTGCACAAAATTTGATCCTGTACTTGTATAGGTGAAAAAAAAAAAACTGGTGCTGTTGACCAGAGAGGGAAAGCCACATGCCCAGGGCCACACAGACACTTAACAGAATCACGCTGAGACTAGGCCGAGACTAGGTCTCCTGGCCCAACAGTTGTTAGCTTCCTCTGGGTCTCAGACCCTTCCAGAGCCCACAGGTAGAACCTGAGAGGTCTCTACGGTCCCTAAATTGGAATTAAAAAAATTACACACATGGAGTATTTTTTGAGGAAAGGGAATATCAGCAATGATGACTGTACTACAGCAAATGATGATGTTTATCAACTAGTTTACTCCATGCAAAGCCTGCTCAGAGCACTTGTATGAACTCATTTGAGCCCTATGAGAGACCTAGAAGGAGGGTGCTATTATTATCCCCATTTTGCAGAGAAGCAAACTGAAGCCCAGAGAAGTTAAATAATTTCCCCAATGTCACATGTTGAGAAGTGGCCATATTAGAACTTGTTTCACAGGGTCCCTGATCTGGCATTACTAATATTATCAGAACAAATCCTCTGGACAATACGTTTTTTCGGATGATAAGATTTCCAAACAAATAGCTAACAAAAACAAATAGCTCTCCCTTCATCTCAAGGTGTGTGTGTGCATGTGTGTGTATGTGTGTGCGTGCGTGGGCGATACATCCAAAGAATCTGGGCGGTGCTTGTGATTATGGGAATTGGCCTGGCTCCGGGTGTTTCTTTACTGACCCGGCTCTGGGAGTCAAAACAAGCCGGTTTTCAGGTTATTTCAACAGATCCAGTTTCCCCCTTTCTCAAGGAACCAACCCCTTCCTGGCAAGAGGGCAGCTCCAGCCCTGAACCTGGCTTCAAAGCTAACTTCCCAGTGGGGTTGAACTGGCTCAACCTGGCTGCTCAAAGATAGCCATGGCGGCCCAGACCAAAAGGACGCTGGAAGACGTGCCTGGTTCAAGGAGCCTGCAATTAGGCTGTGACTGGGATTGGCTTTATTGCTCTGGGATCAGATCCTGCGTGAGGTGTTCCACAAGGAGCTGAGCTCTGGCCAAGTCACCAGGATACTTTCCCTCTGCACACTCCTGACCACACAAAGATAGCAAAGTCGCTCTGCAGCTGGTAGGTATAGGTGGCCGTGGGGGAAGGGAAGGCCTCATATCTACTGAGCACTTGCTCTGTGCCAGCCCCAGGCCAAGCCCTCTACGTGATCCCATTCGTTTTTCACAGTGACCCTGGGAAGACTCTATCCTTACACCCATTCTACAGATAAGAACAGTGTGGTTTAGAGACGCTGGGGGCGGGGGGGGGGGGGGGGGGGGGGCGGGGAGCACCTGCCCAAGGTCAAAAAGCAGCTGGGTGTCAGAGGTAGGATTTTAATCTAGGCCACTCTGGCCCATGGACAAGATGTCATGAGAGCCTGAGGCGGAGCGGGATATTGGGGCCATCAGTGTTAAAGTTATAGACTCACAGGCCTCAGGAATAATCCATTCAATCCCCATTTCCTACAATTGAGGACGGGGGCCCCCGAGAGGGGAAGTGACTTGGTAAGGCCACACAGCAAGTCAGGGCTGCACTGGGACTCTCGGTCCAGTGCTCCTTCCACTTCAACGGACCATCTCTTAATGGGGTCATGGGGAGAGAAGGGGAACCTCTGTTATCCGAAAAGTGCAAGTTCCTGATTCCTGGCAAGTGGAGCTAGGGTCACAGGGCTCCCTTACTCAGATTCCTCCTCTTTGGTTTCCTTCAGGCTCTCAAGGAACGTCTCTTCAAGGAGATCCAGCTCCCCCACGGGCACTCGGAAGAGGGAGGTCATGTGGCAAATGAGGACTCGGGCCCGTGCATCATAACACCCTCGAAAGAGAGACACAAGGGCAGAGAATCAGTTTGGCCTTTAAGCACAGCGACATTAACAGCGGTGTAACGGATAAAACCCACACCCTAGAAACGTCCTACATGCACAACCCCAGGGAAGCGGTCCGTTAAACCACAGGACAGACTCCCAGGCAGAATAGTGTGCAACAATGAAAACCACTGATAGGGAGTAAGATGGTCTTTTTCACCAGTCGAATGAGCAAAGATGAGTTCTTTCCAACCCCAGAGCTGTGAAGAAGGTGGTGAAAACAGGTAGGTGCTCGAGGACATTGCTGCTGGGAGTGTGTGTTGATTTTAACCGCTGAGGGCAGCAATTTGACAATATGGATCAAAAGCTGAGCACAGTGCACACCCCCAAAATCGTAGAGACAGAAAGGAGAATGGTGGCCGGGGGCTAGGAGAGGGGACAAGGGGAGTCAGTGATGATGGGGACAGACTTTCAGTTTTGCAGGATGAAAAGAGCTCTGGAGATGGATGGACGGTGGTGGGAGCACAACACGGCAAATTGGGGAATGCTACTGAATCGTACGGTTAAAAGTGGGTAAAATACTGATGTATATGTTACGTGTATTTTGCCGCAATTAACAAAAAGTGGGGGGGAGGAGGTGTGCATCCCCATTGGCCCAGGAATTCCATTTCTGAAACCCTAAATCTTTTTTTTAAGTGTTTGTTTTTGAGAGAGAGACAGAGAGAGATAGAGATAGAGAGAGACAGAGACAGAGCATGAGGGGGGGGGAAGGGGCAGAGAGAGAGGGAGACACAGAATCTGAAGCAGACTCCAGGCTCTGAGCTGTCAGCACAGAGCCCGACGCGGGGCTCGAACCACGAACATGATCATGACCTGGGCCGAAGTCAGACGTTCAACTGGCTGAGCCACCCAGATGCCCCTCTGAAACTCTAAATCTTAAGAAAACAATCCCAGATGTAGAAAACAGTAAGTGAAGGCCCTACTTTATAAGGTGAGAGTGATAACAATCTGGAGACTTCTAACATCAGGGGGTTAGACAGGTAAACCACAGCATGTCCACCCTGTGGAGAATAAGCCATTAAAAAAAAAAAAAAAAAAGATTCCTAAGAAGTTTGTAAATCTGAAAAAATGCTTATGTAATGAAAGAAATTTTTAAATGGAGAGATTTCTTGATAATATGGCATCAGGGCCCAACTAAGGGGGGAAAAAAAAACACTGCATAGGAAAAAGGGAGAGAAATAGACCAAATAGGATTTTTTTCCCATCCTTCCAAAATTATCGATAATGAGCTTGGGTTAATTTTCTAATTGGAAAAATTAAGCGACCAAAGGTGGTCTGTCCAAGCTCTATTTATTATAGCCCGGAAGCTTGTAAGAATGCATTAGTATCTGGTTAGTGCAGAGTGGGGACCTGAGGGTGCCCCATGTCAGAGAGTGACACGGCTCAGCCACCCAAACGAGACCGGGAATACACCCGTCCTCCTCCTTCATCCTCACAGCCCAAGGGCCCGGGACCCTTAGTTTATCCAAAAGCAGCTCAAATGTGTCCTTTCCCTGCTTCTCCCCCGCCCCCACCCCATTCCATTGGGAGGGCGGCCTTTTCGACCAGGACAGTCTGGTGGTCCCTGTTCTCTGTAGAGAACCTACATGGTGAGCTTAGCAGGGCAGCAAGGCGCCTCGGGGTGAGGCACGGCAGCACCTCAAGTCCCCAAACTGCCACCATAGTCTCCTGTCATCCGCTGACACTGGGGCTCCCCTCTGCCTCACCCAACTGGCTGCAGACTCTGGTGGGGACAAGAGGGGTGTTACTCGGACCCCTGACTGTCCCTGCAGGGACACAGCCAGATTTGAGGACCACTGGCCTGGGGGCCGGGAGTCGGAGGCACAGAGCTGCTGTTACTCCTGACTCTGCTCTCGGGTCTCCCTCCCTCAGTCTCCCACTTGCCCTCTTGATTCTTCCCCAACCCAGAAACAACTCCATGACTGGAGATGGGACTCCAGTCAGGGGTCTCACTCTGCTTTCTTTTTTCTTTGGTGACAATGAAGAAATCGGTCATGACAGAACCAAATGCAAACCCTAACTTGACCTATGAGACCCCCTGGTCAAAGTCCCTGACCTTGCCTTCTAGAATGTTCTTGCTTCAGGGCCTGTGCACTTGCTGTTTCCACTACCTAAAAAGGCTGATTCCTTAGATCTTCATGTGGGGCGTCTCCCTATTCAGGTTTCTGTTTATTTTTTAATGTTTATTTTTGAGAGAGAGAGAGAGAGAGTGAGTGAGCACGAGTTGGAGAAAGGTAGAGAGAGAGGGAGACACAGAATCTGAAGCAGGTTCCAGGCTCTGAGCTGTCAGCACAGAGTGCGGGGCTCGGACCCCACAAACCGTGAGATCATGACCTGAGTGGAAGTCAGACGCTTAACCGACTGAGCCACCCGGGCGGCCCTCAGGTCTCTGTTTAAATCCTCCTGCCCAGAGAGGCCTTCCTGACCATCCCTCCAGCACTCTCCATTCCTTTTCCCTGCATTTGGTTCCGCACAGAGCTTCCTACTGTCTCATATATTCATTTACTTGTTTGTCTCTCCTCCCAAAATATACATGTTATAAGGGTAATCACTGCTCTATCTTTAGTCCTTAGCATAGTGCTTGCCACAAAGAATAAATGTTCAATGAGTAACTTGACAGATCTGGGTAGGGACCCTCTCTGTGTGTCTAACCCTGGGCAAATAGCACGTCCTCATTCAGGTGGAAAACGGAAGTGGTGAGAGTCACCTCACGAAGTTTTGAGGAGAGGACTCCTGGTCCACGAGCAGCCCCTGATGAATGTCACCGAATTAGACTCCTGCGCTGGGTGTCCGCAGTGTGGGCAATCGCATTATACTAAAGTAGTAGTGGCTAGCCTTCAACATGACATAGCGCCCCCCCCCCAAAGTCCTGAAGTTTCAGCTTCTGTGGAATAGACCGGCTCCTTCCGTGCACTAGGGCACTCAGAGCGAGCCACGATCCAGTAGCCTTTGCCCTGCTGTCCTGGACTGCCTCCTTAGACAAGCAACTGTGTACGTGCTGGGGAACAGACACGTCGTGGCTTGGGATCACTAGGTCAGTTAAAGCCTCACACAGGAGCTCCTCACTTTCTCAAAGGATCAAAGACGACTGTACCCAGGTGATAGTCGAGCTGTGGAAATTCAGCCAGCCTTGGCCATGGGGATTAATTGGTGGCAATCATAATTACCTGCTAATTCATACTCCACTGGTTAAGCCAGCAGTGATTCAGCTTCTGGAATATAGGTTACCAGATGCACAGGAGATTCACCTCCCAAGATATTCTCAGGCATGGGGTTCTGGAACGTCAGCCTCCTGTAAGGGTCACTGGGGGCCAGGCTGCAGGATTTGGGGCTGAGGTTCTTTCCAGGAAGGTGGTGGGCAGTTGGGGAGAGGCAGGAGCCTCCGGCAACCTTGACACTGGGGTTTTCTGGTCTCTGCGGCCAACTTGCCGGGTGGCCCGAGTTCACTGCCCAAGGGCCCGACTATCCTGCTGTGGAGCTCAGGTCAAATGCCTGGGCCTTGTTCCTGGTTTTTCTTGTTGCCCTACCCCGACATCCAGTCCCACCAGTGCCGTCAGCTGCACCTCCACAATCTATCCTGAGTCTGACGCTGGCACCCGATTCCCACCACCGCCGCCTGCCACTGCCCCTGTGACCACCTTCCCTCTTCAACTACCAGCCGTCACGCAGGTACTCATGGCGCTCTCCCCAACTGAAAATTCTCCCGGTGCACTCACAATAAAATCCACACTTCCTCCCCTGGTCCGCAAGGCTGTACGTTAGCTGGCCCCTAGCCACCCTCCCTCTCCCGCATCACTTTCCACGGATTCCTGTGTCATGCACCAGTATCTGGCCCAACAGGAAGGCAACCTCCTTCCCACCCCAGGGCCTTTGCGCTTGCTTTTCTAACTCGAAAGCTCCTCTCCCGGAGCTCTGCCAGGCTGGTCCCTTCTCATCACTCGGGTTGCAAATATCACCTCCTTAGAGAAGCCATCAGCCTCTAAAGTACAGCAGCCCACTTCTGGTCATGCTGTCCCCACCCCCGGTTCCCACCACTGTTGGACCCGTGGATAGAGTTATTGTCCGGCTCTCCCCACCAGAGAGTCAGGCCCACGAGGGCAGAAACCTTGTGTTTGTTCCTTGTCTCCCAGTGCCCTGGACGATGCTCGGCAATTAGTAAGACATGTTGGCTCATTAACTAACTGAAGCTCTCCCTTGTCTGCCAGGACTCTCTGACATGCCCACTCTTTTCTGCTTCCTACCTCCAGCCGAGACTTATTCCCTATTTCCAGGACCATCTGAGTCCTGCTTCCCCAGGAGACAAGGAGACAGCGGCTTTACTGGGTAAGGCCTCTCTCCTCCTCTGGGTAGGGTCATCTCTTACAGTGATGAATTACTCTCGAATGTCAAAGTCTTCACAGCGCCTAGCATACTCTCTCTTGGACCTGTTTATCACTCAGTTCCTTCCTTAAGTGCTGCCTCCTCTGAGAAGTCCTCCCTGACTCTACTGCTTTCTATCCCTTTATCAGGAGGTATTTTCTTATCACCATTTAAAGCTAAATTTTTAGTTTTATTTATTTATCTTTTCATTTTTAAGTTTATTTATATATTTTGAGAGATGTGGGAGCAGAGAGAGAGGGAGAGAGAGAGAGAATCCCAAGCAGGCTTCACACCATCAACGCAGAGCCAGGCATGGGGTTCGAACACGAACCATGAGATCATGACCTGAGCTGAAATCAAGAGTTGGAGTCTTAACCAACTGAGCCACTCAGGCACCCCCTATCTATTTATTATTTATTTTTTTAATTTTTTTTTTAACATTTATTTATTTTTGAGACAGAGAGAGACAGAGCATGAGTGGGGATGGGGCAGAGAGAGAGGGAGACACAGAATCTGAAACAGGCTCCAGGCTCTGAGCGGTCAGCACAGAGCCCGACGCGGGGCTTGAACTCACGGACCGTGAGATCATGAC